CATCCTCTGCCCCTCCATGCGCTTCCCACAGCGAGTCCGCCCAGACAGGCTCCTGGGGAAGCCAGAGGGTTCTGCACCCCCACTTCGCAGTCAGACATGACTCTCGGCCAGCCAGTAACACAGAAGGTTTATTAGATGACAGGAACACGGTCTAAAACAGAGCTTGTAGGTACAGAGAACAGGATCCCCTCAGCTGGGTCCATTTTGGGGCCCAGCGAGCCAGACAACCACACCTCACTTCCCGTCCCCAACCAGCTCCAAACTGACTCCCCCTCCAGCCTCTCCTCCTCTGCTTTGTCCCTTTCCCGGGCCAGGAGGTCACCTGATTCCTTTGTTCTCCAACACCTTTAGCTATCCCCTTGCAGGGGGGGAAGGGCCCCGGCCATTAGTTGCTAGGAGACAGAGTGTCGGCCATTTATGTACACTGGCCCTTTGCTCTCCAACAATCACACCCCCTTAGCCCACCACTTAGCGACTTAAGAAATGCATTGGGGAAACTGAGGCACCCCTACAGTATTCAGAGGAAACATTAAGAACAGTCCCACTTTGTCACACCAATTGTCTCTGTTATGTTCACGGTGCACACATGCACACACAGGGATGTTAGATCAGAACAGAAATACCATGGGAAGACTGTAGCATCACACGACTTTACTGCTTAGAATCCACAGCGATAACACAGAATTACCAAACACAGAGAGAAAGAAAACAGACTGCTCCCTAAGGCTGGGAGACACAGCTCACCCCGTCTTGCTTTAAACTGGCTCTTCTCAGACTGACTCTGAACGGACGCTTTTCTAACAGCACACAAACATGCCGGCCCAGCTATATACTAACGACAGCTCTAAACACAGAATAGGGTCAATGCCAATAGAGGGCTCACCGAGTAATTAATGGGATACGACCCTATTCCAGCACTTCCTTCCCCAGGGATGCCAGGACCCTGATGCCAGGGTAGGGCGTGTGGGGAGATACTGTGCAGCCCAGCGGGAAAGCCCCAGCATCCAGGCTGCAGCCTCCCCCCGCCCCTTCACGCTGCTGTTCTGCCCGGGTCAGGGGTGTGACGCAGTAGGGAGCAGGGTGGACTGACCTGGAAATGTCGTCTAGTTTTACTGGGACTGTCTGCCTTGGGCATGGGATATCAGGGGGTGACTTTGCTTGAGGGACGATACTGGAGCATGTAACCTGAGCCGGGGTGGGGTGGGGCCAGGTGACACCTTCTGTCCGGGAAACTGGACAAAGGCTGGGGGAGGAGCCGGGGGGAGGGGGAGTGAGACGGCTGCAGTGGAGTTTCAGTTTGGAGCTGGCTGGGGAAATGGAGGGAACCCCAAGGCTGGGGTCTAAGCTCCCTACCCCACAGAAGGACCTGACTAAGGAGTCATGTTTATGCCAACAAGCTCTGGTTTGGACTGTGTTCCTGTCATCTAATAAACCTTCTGTGTTACTGCCTGGCTGAGAGTCCTGGTGAATCGCAGGAAGTGGGGGGTGCAGGGTGTTGTCTCCCCCACACGCCATGACAATTGATGGCAGCGGTGGGATCTACTGCACCCCATGGATGGCACTTCCTGCAGTAAGTGACTAGAGAGCAGTTAAACGAAGGGGGATTGATGGGGAGCAGGCATGCTGAAGAGTCAGCGAGAAGCAGTCTCGGGGTGGAGGAGTCGGTGGCTCGACCCTGGCAAAGAGGTGGTGACCTGGAGAAGGGCTGGCACACTAGGGGTTCTTCCTGGAAACTGTGGGGAGCGGCAAGCACACAGGCCGGTGAGTGGCCAGCAGGAAGATGTATGCCAAGCGGCTTAAGAGCGACCTGGTGGAGCTGTGCAGGCAGAGGGGACTGCGCAGTGGGAGGTGCACCAAAGAACAGCTCATTGCCCAGCTGGAGGAGGGAGATTGCTCAGAGGAGCTAGTCCCTGTCTCTGAGGGAAGCAGCCTGGCACATGCTAGGCGGGCATCAGGGTCTGTCCCAGCTGGGAGTGGTCAGCCGGCTGCTGAGGGCTTCCCGAGACCCCCCCTTCCTATGCCTAGGGGAAGGGCTGAGAAGAGCCCAGGGAACACCGAGGGCACCCTGACCCCTGCAGCCAGCAGGGGATCCTCCCGGCGGAGCTCCCCGTCGCTGGAGCTGAGGCAGCTGGAATGGGGAGGGAGCTAAAACTGAAAGAGGTGGAAGATCAAGAGAAGGAGCGAGAGGATCACAAAAAGCAGTGACAGCATGAAGAGAAACAGCGTCAGCATGAACTGGAGTTGGCCAGGCTAAGGAGCAGCGAGGCCCCGGCTGCGGGGAGTGAGGGGGACCCAAGACTGCATGGAGCTTTGGTAAGTGCCTCCTGGCCCAGAGTAAGGAAGGGGAGGACATAGATGAATTCCTGATTGCCTTTGAGACAGCCTGCGAGCTGCACCAGGTTGACCTGGCAGACAGGCTCTGGACTCAAGGTTCTCCGTTTACCGGGTGGGTGCGGGGCGGTCCCTGTGGAGTGAGTGCCTTGTTCCCCTGAAGGTGGATGGGAGGAGGGTCAGTGGATACTGGGATACGGGCGCAGAGGTGACGCTGGCCCGGCCCGAGGTGGTGGCCCCATATCGGGTGGTGCCCGACACCTACCTGACCCTGACGGGGGTGGGCGGGACCCCATTCAAGGTGGCCATGGCGAGGTACATCTGAAATGGGGGACCAAGGAGGGCCCCAAGGATGTTGGGGTACACCCACATTTGCCCACTAAGATGTTGATGGGGGGGGACCTAGAGGACTGTCCAAGCAACCCCCAGAACATCCTGGTTATGACCAGTAGCCAGAGCTGGCGAGGGGCACTACGCCCTGACCCTGGGAAAGGTACCTTACCAGAGATGGTGGGGAGGGAGTGCCCAGGGACTCCCCACCAGGGATCAGGTGATGGTTCTCATCCCCGTGAGAAAGAACAAACTCCAGGCCACCTGGGAAGGTCCTTTTAAAGTTGTCAAGCAACTAAATGAGATAAACTGTGTGGTGGAGCTGTCTAACCGGGCGCACCACCGCTGGGTGTACCATGTGAATATGATGAAGCCATATTATGACAGGGGGAATGTGGTGTTGGCCGTGTGTGGACATTGGGAGGGGCAGGGAGATGACCCTTTAGTAGATCTATTCCCTGGGACAAGAGCTGGCTCCCCCCTGGAAGCAATTCCCCTCTCGGATCAGCTGACCCCAGCCCAGCGAGCTGAGATCGGAGGGGTGCTGCATCTGTACCCACAGCTGTTTTCCAACCAGCTGGGACACATTAATCTGACTGTCCACCGGGTGCAGACAGGATCGCACCTGCCTATAAAATTCTCCCCCTTCCGAGTCACAGGGAAAACTGCTCAGGACCTGGAAA